GATTAAGAGAGACATAGCCGACTTTGTATCCAAATGCTTGGTATGTCAGTAGGTCAAGGCAGAGCATCAGCGTGGGTGGACTACTTCAGCCTTTACCGATCCCAGAGTGGAAGTGGGAATACATCACCATGGACTTCGTATCGGGACTACCCAAGGCACGTTCAGGACATAACGCCATCTGGATAATTGTTGACCGACTTACCAAGTCTTCTCACTTCTTGATCATCAAGAGGACCGACCCCTTGGACAAGTTGTCAAGAATGTATATCCGAAAAATAGTTAGATTGCACGGAGTTCTAGTAACAGTGGTATCCGATAGGGACCCCAGGTTCACTTCTCGGCTTTGGAGTAGCTTTCAGCAAGCCATGGGAACAAAGCTGTCACTCAGTACTGCCTTCCATCCTCAGACTGATAGACAATCAGAAATTACAATTCGTACACTTGAGGATATGTTCCGAGCATGTGTCCTTGACTCCGGGGGCCATTGGGATGACCATCTACCCCTGATAGAGTTTACCTACAACAACAGCTACCAAGCAAGCATCGGCATGGCTCTCCATATGAGACGTTATACGGGCGCCCGTGCAGATCACCAATTTGTTGGGAAGAAGTGGGTGATAGAAGATTGTTCAGCCCAGAGTTGGTAGAGGAGATCACGTCTAAAATAGTTAAAATCAAAAAGAACATTCAGACGGCGCAGAGCAGGCAAAAGAGTTATGCGGACACCCGAAGGACAGAGAAAGGCGACCGAGTGTTCCTTAAGGTCACTCCTTTCAAGGGAATTAGTAGGTTCGGCATGAGGAGAAAATTGAATTCCCGATTTATTGGACCTTTTGAAATCTTAGACAGGATTGATACTGCTGCCTACAGACTAACACTGTCTCCAGAGCTCTCCAAGGTCCACAATGTGTTCCACATATCCATGCTACGTAAGTACAACCCGGATCTCTCTCATGTCTTGGCTCATGAACCACTTCCACTCCAAGAGGACTTATCTTATGAAGAAGTACCAGTCGGTATCACGGACCGAAAGAGCAGGATACTCCGCAACCGGGAAATATCATTTGTAAAGGTCATGTGGCAGAACCACACACCAAGGGAGGCTACCTGGGAGCTAGAATCAAATTTTAGAGCCCAGTATCGCCATTTGTTCGACCAATAGTAAAAGGCAAATTTGGGGGACCAAATTTCTTTAAGGGGGTGAGAGTGTTAACACCCAATTTATTATTTTTATTTTGTTTTAATTTATTTTAATATATATTAGAATTTTTGTTTAATTTTTTTCAATATTTAATTTATAAGGTTTTAAATTTAATTTAATGAAAATAAAAATAATAATAATGATAAAACAGGGTAAAATTATTTTTAGAATTTAATTGAAATTGATTTTGAAAAAAATGGGTGAAATTTTGGATTATGGGGGTGTTTTTTTTTAAAAAAATTAGAAATCGGGGGTCAAAACGTAATTTAAGAAAGTTGTACCACGTCAGCAACCCCGGCCAACCAGAACACGCCACGTGCCAAAGAAGCTGATGCGGGACGGAGCCACATGGGCGATCCGCGTGCGCGCGATCAGACGGCCCAGATCTCACCCGTGCGGACGGCCCAGATTTAATCCCAATTTAATCGCGATTGGACAGCCCAAATTAAATCGTGATGGACGGCTGAGATTAAAAGGGGAAGGTTATAAATAACCTCACCCACACCCGACCCCAAACCCTAGCCGCCAGTACCCTCGCCGGAGAAGAAGAACCAATCGCCGGAGGAGCCGGCTGCCGCCACCCACCGCCGCACTGGAGGGTTTTTCGACCGCCAAGCGAGGTAAATTTTCTCTCTTTGGCTCGTTTTTCGATGTTGAATTCGCTCATGGCCAAATTGGAGCCAAACCACTGGCCAATCGACTGAAAAACACCGCCGAAGTCCAGCGGCACCGCTGCGGTTTCTCTCAGTTTTTACCTTCGATGAGGCCCTTTCTGGTTTCCGATCGATGCAATTTTTACACCACTGTGATCACCGTCCTTTTCTCTATAGGTTGACCGGAGCAAAATATCAAACCGCGACTCGTGCCGGAGAAGTCGCCGCACCCGAGAGCCCCACCGCAGGTAAGTCTCGATTTTTCGTATTTTTTTGCCCACCGAGGGCCCTAGAGTTGTTTTATCGCAGGAACCAATGCAAGTTTGCCCGAATTCGGCCGAAAACGGCCATACCGGACGGGGTATTTGGGACGGCTCATTTCATCCTCATACCGGACAGGGTATGGGGACGGCCCTGAAATTAAGTTATTAATGTTAATGGTTCACGTGTAATGGGGACCCGCTATGGATCCCCGTTGATACTAGTAGGCTGGTAAAAGATGAAATTTGTTGTCTAATTATTTAAGTGCAAAAGTATGACATGTACTAGGTTACAAAGTGTATATGATTTTATAATAGTTATCATACTATTGTTTTCACATGTTATTTTCACAAATCTCATCGAGGTAAGTGGACAGTAAAGGTTTTTATTATTAATAAATGAGTTTGTTATAAATTATGTTCTATTGGTCGTTTTTTATTTCTACCAACCTTTACTTCTGTGGCAGTGAGATAATGTGATGTCTTTACTGGGGTAGTGTAGCTCATTCCTTACTTAACCATTTCAGATAAGGAGAATGTGGTTCCCGAGCCCGTTCCGCAGGAAGACGGCGAGTTAGACGCCTAAAGACTTTATAGTTCTATTTATAGTTTTTATTTCGAATATTTTTTTTAATTAGCTTATTCTTTTATACGTTGAATGCGTTTATGGTTATTGTGTAAGGGATGTTAATCAAAATTTTTATTACGCTTCCGCATTTAAAATTTTTAATACATACATTTTCATTTAAATTTCCGAGACCGTCACATTTGTACAATAATCAATAAAATTAAACTACCAGCCCTAAATTATTACCAAAATTCCTTTTGGAACTTGTTTAATTAATGTCGTTTGTTGAACTTTCCAACCTAACATAAATATGTAACTAATTTGGATTGAATTTGTTTGAGATTTTAAATTCCAGAGTTAGTGTGAACTTGACAAAAAAACTACGAGCTAATCCATGGGAAATGAAATTAGTCAAACCTCCACCAATGAACCTGCCCAACCAGAAGACGAATCGAACACGAAAGCAAAAAATATTTATTACAATATAATGATCCACATGACTGCTTGTATATATGTTCATCAGTTTATGTACACACACACACATATATATATATACATATGTAACAACAATTAAAAGATTAATTGGGGCCCCTTAAATTGATTGAATTCATATTCGTATAATATATATATATTCTTTTTTAATTTGGAATTTTATAATTAACCTTTCAATTTCAATTTTGTCATCTTATCTGATTGGGAAATTTTGTTTTATTAATTTCTTATAATTTAAGTGATTGTGATATGTATTATTTTTTATTATATGTTATTGTTATTTATTCATAAAAAAAAAACTTAAATTAAATTTTCACATTTTTTTATTTGATTTTGTTCTTATTTAAAAAAAATTGAATATAATTTTAAAAATTAAATTTTGTAATAAATAATTAAAATAACCCAGTGGTTATAGACTTACGAGTCACAGACATTACTTGTTTTAGTCTCCGTGTCCACCACCGGTCAATAATTACTCCGCCTTGAAGACTTAATGGAGTAAGCCATACATTTTGTATATTAATTAATATTATAATATTTAACACCTATATATATATATATATAAGAAATGGCTAAAAAGTCAAAGGAATGCATTAATATTAATTATAATTATATATTATATTCAGATAAAAATTTAGACATTGCTATCGATTCGAATTATAAAATATAAAAAATAAAATTAATTTAACAATATATAACAAATTATTTTATTTAAATTTTTAACTAATTACAAAATTTACAATTACATGATTTTTAAATGAAAAAATAATTTTAATAATATACATGATAATTATGTATTTAAATTCTTTAAATATAACTAAAATTAATGAATTATCCAGTATATAATTAATTTTTAAAATTATTAATTCAAGTATGTAGTTAATCATAAATCATAAAGAGGGGTGAGGATAGTATAGTGTGAACCTGGTGACTTTATCACTTCCGTTATGCGATAATGTCAAGGCGGCGGGAAATTTCTGCTTTGAGGGAGACGGCCCCGGCTGGGCCTATTAAAATTGTTTGTGACAAGATACCAAATCACTATATTCTCGCACTCCTAATTATGTGCCGCAGTAAATTTGTTTTGTCACATCAATTAACTTATAATATCATGATTAGGTTAATTTCCTCTATTTTAGCAAAATGATTAGTTATACATAAATTACAGGAGTATATAATCATTAATGTCCAGCTATGGAATGATATAATTATCCTCCGTATATATCTATAAAACCGAATCTATATATTCTAAATTTATTTAGGGAAAAATGTAATTTTCATTTTCAAAAATTCTCTTAAAATATATAAAAACAATAATTTATAATTAAGAAAACAAAAAAAAAAAAAAAAAGGTTGGGATTTGCTAAATTTGGTGCAATAATTTAGGTGGAAATGCAGACAATCCAACGTTCGAATTTAGGGGAAAGTACATGTAAAATCACTAATCACCTATTTTTTATTCTAGTGGTAAGTTATCCGATGTACCTAACATCCATCCTAATGTATGAACCCTCGGCATCGTCATTAAATTCGGCCACCAAGTTCACCTAATCAGACACGTGTACGGCTATCATCAAATGACCCAACGTAAACTCCGAGCTAAGCGAAGCACGAACCCACGCATCAACGGTCAAGTAGGTGGCGAAATAAAAACTATGAAACCGCAAAGTAGTGGAAATAACAAAAAAGATTTTGGTTTTGTTTTTCTATCGGCCGCTATCTAACGTGGGCCCCCTCATTCCCCACTCTCGCCATGATCTGATCTTTCTGCATTTCTCAGCCTATAAAAACGTTAGTTTTACCTACTCTTGGAAGTAGCAGAAGCTTTCATTTTAAGGGGGGGAAAAAAAAAAACAAAGCAGAGCGACAACATAACTCCTTTGCTCTGTTATTTTCTTCTTCTTCTTTCTTCTTCATCTGCTCTGGTTGAAGTTCCTCAGGAACCAGATCATGGCTTCTTTCACATTCTTCATTATTCTTCTCTCTAATATTGCTTTTGCATTTGCAGGTAATTAAAACTGTATTCCATTTTGTTTATGCTCATTTCTGTATCGTATATTCTGTGTTTCTGATGAATCTTATTCTTCTTCTTCTTTTGGCAGATTCAGGTACAATAGGAGTAAACTATGGCCGAGTGGCGAACAACCTGCCAACACCAGAAAAAGTCGTGGAGCTCTTGAAATCTCAAGGAATCGACCGAGTCAAGCTCTACGATACTGACTCAACCGTTCTCAATGCACTAGCCAACTCTGACATAAACGTCGTCGTTGCGCTCCCCAACGAGGTTCTCTCCTCCACCGCCGCCGACCAAACCTTCGCCGATAACTGGGTACAAGCCAATATTGCCAAGTACTACCCAGCAACTCGAATCGAAGCTATTGCTGTCGGTAACGAGGTGTTCGTGGACCCGAAAAACACAACTAAGTACCTCGTCTCCGCCATGAAAAATGTACACAACTCTCTGGTCAAGTACAAGCTAGATTCATCAATCAAAATCTCATCTCCGATAGCGCTCAGCGCGCTCCAGAACTCATACCCGTCTTCCGCCGGATCCTTCAAACCCGAACTGATCGAACCCGTTATCAAACCAATGCTAGATTTTCTCCGCCAAACCGATTCGTACCTGATGGTGAACGCATACCCGTTCTTCGCATACGCAGCGAACGCGGACAAGATCTCCTTAGATTACGCTCTGTTCAAAGAAAACCCGGGAGTGGTGGACTCGGGTAACGGGTTGAAATACAACAGTCTCTTCGAGGCACAAATCGACGCCGTTTTCGCGGCCATGTCTGCTCTTAAATACGACAACGTAAAGATAGTGGTGACGGAGACCGGGTGGCCGTCGATTGGCGATGAGAACGAGGTGGGGTCCAGCGCCGAGAATGCGGCGTCGTATAATGGAAACTTGGTGCGAAGAGTTCTAACGGGAAGTGGGACCCCCTTAAGACCCCAGGCCCCACTCAACGTCTACCTCTTCGCTCTGTTCAACGAGAACCAGAAACCGGGCCCCACGTCCGAGAGAAACTACGGCCTCTTTTATCCGAACGAACAGAAAGTGTACGACGTGCCGTTTAAACAGGAGGATTTGAAGAACGTCGGGTCAACGCCCATCAACGGCAGCAAGGCCCAGGTTCCAGCGGCGCATGCGGGGCAGACTTGGTGTGTGGCGAATGTGCATGCTGGTGAAAAGAAGCTGCAGGCTGCGCTTGATTATGCTTGCAGCGAGGAGGCAGGCGCTGATTGCCGTCCGATTCAGCGTGGTGCCACGTGTTATAATCCTAACTCGATTGAGGCACACGCCTCGTACGCTTTCAACAGTTTTTATCAGAAAAAGGCTCGCGGCGCTGGCACGTGCGATTTTGGTGGTGCGGCTTACGTGGCCACACAACCCCCCAGTACGTACCCTAATCTATACATACATACATACATACATACACATGTATTTTTTGAATTGACAATTTCTTTTTTTTTTTTTTTCTTTTTTTTTGTATTTGTGATGCAGGATTTGGTAACTGTGAATTTCCTACAGGGTATTAAATGGTTCGTTCGTGGGGTCTCTGATCAGCAGCCAGCTTATTCTTTCATGATTAACTTTGGATTTTTTGGGTACATTTTTTAGTTTTATTTTTTCTACGTATTTAGTCACATATATAGTATTTATATATGGTAGGTACGGTATCATTGTTATCTAGTCGTTTTAATTAGTTTGCTTGTTTTATATTTTTAATATATATATACATGTATGTATATGATGTATTTAACTTTCACAATTAAGTTATTTTGTATGGTTCAATTTTATATAAGAGATAATGACCTTATCATTATTTTAAATAAAATATAAATCTAAGAGAGAAATAACAATTGTAATTTATCATTAATGTAATTTGCTTAATGGATTTGAATTAAAAGCCCAATTCGTTCAATTGGATTTTCCAATTTGAATTAAAAAGCCCAAGTCCCTTGCTTTTTATATATATTAGATATATTTAAGATAACAATATTTATACTTGCAATAAAATAGAATTAGCACGCCATAAAATGGTAATTTATTAAAAAAAATTCGTAGAATTTCTTAATTGAAGAATTTAATTAAAAGAAAATTAAAAAATTAGATATTTAATATCCTGAATTATATACAATTAATTATACTTGGTACTCAATTTGTTGGTGTTTTAGATGGAAGAGTGAGAGATTTAATTATTGTAATTGAAAAGTTTTAATCTCTTATGAATTAAAAATAATAACTTAAATTAGTAATTGAAAATTGTTTTTAAAATAGATTAAAAATAATAACTTTTTTATTTTTTAAAAATTCAACTAAATAAATGAGTAATTTAATTGGGGCCATTCTAATCGGACCAAACCCATAAACAAATTTCTTCTTTATCTTGTAATGTGATAAAAAAAAGGTACAATATCAGTCAGTACAAAGGGGTTACGTAGAAAAATCCACGTGTCTGTGTATGTATGTAATATATAATATTGATTGCGTAAACTAAAATTAATAAATTAGAATCTGGCAGCAGGATGCAACTAAGAAATAAAGAAAAAGCAACAAATGAAAGGTTGCCATTTTGCATTGAACAAAAGAAGTTGTCATTTAGGATACAATTCTTATAAATTTAAATTTTATAATGTATTATAAATTAATTTATAATATTTAATTAAATAATATTAATTTATTAATATATTAATTAAACAATAATAATTAAATTTTAATGAATATATTATATTTTTAAGTAACATTAATATTTTTTATTGTACCAATTTTCAAGATATATCTCACATAATATAATATCTAAAATTTCAAAACTTAAAAGAAAAGAATTTATATTTTTAATGCGGAAGCAAATAATAAAATTAGGGTTACATTCCTTACATAGTAAATTAGAATGCCCAATTCATTCTATAATGACTCGTAAAAATAAACAAATAAATAATTTAAAATAAATAAATAAATAAATATTTTAAGAGGTTAATCTTCACTAGCTCTTTAAATTGTTCAGGAGGTAAATTACTCACAATTTTTTTACTGATCAAGATTTAGATCTTACTCCTATTGATTTGAAATTGTTAATAGAAGAGTGAGTTATACTATCGCATTAAGAATATTACACTATTAACTGATACGGAAAACAAAAGTTTGTAAAAAATCACAAAATAACTAATAGAGTCCTTTAGGTAAATTCATTTAACATCAAAATGTTATTTCTATACTTACCACTACAAATTTTTCAAAATCAATGTAACAGCCCCGAAAATTTAAAATAAAATGTATATTAAAAATATCAAATGCGGAAGCGAAGTCAAAATTCGAATAACATCCCTTACACTAAAAACAAAAACGTGCTCACAAAATATAAAAGATCAAACTACCTAAATGAGAAACTTGAAAGTAAAAGCTACGAATATGACTATGGAGTCTTTAGCGTCCCCTTCGTCGTCCTCCTGCGGAACCGCTC